ATTAGCATGGAGGGTTCAGGATAACTCCTAGTCGAGCAGTCTCGACTGGAGCCTTCTTACTTGTTTTTGTTTTGTTTTTTTTTTTTTTTTTTTTTTTTTTTTTTTTTTTGCATGGGTATAGAGCGTCTGCATAGTATATAAAATCTGTAGAGAAGATCAACAGTAACTCTTTTGATAGACGTATGGAAACAGTTCTAAGGATTTGGAGACACAGAGAGGACAGGCCGAAGATTAGTATTAGACTAATACTATTAGTAAAATCTTAGATTAAGCAGCTGTTTAAGCTGCTAAACTGCTTTTTCACGTTCCCAATAGTTGTGAAATCTCTAGATCTGCAGATGATATCTAGCAAGTGTTTGTTCATATTATCATAGGCAATAAAAGACAGCTCCCAAATGCTTTTCAATTTCGGGTTTTATTGCACATTGTGATTTTTTTGAGAAATATTCAATTTGTACGCCTATCCGCATCGGCTGCCTATTTCCGCACATCATTGCAAGGATAGGGACCACAGGGAGCAGCAGCAGGGGCAGCAGGAGCAGCAGCAGGAGTCGCCGGTGTTTTTCCCTTGCTGGTCTGGCTAACAGCTGCATGACTGCTGTTTGACTGAGGTCCGGGCGCACTGACTGCCGGACATTTGGTATCCGTGTTAATCGGCGAGCACTGGCGCACATTCTCCACGGCTGGCTCCGTTCTGGTGCAGGCCTGGCTGGGATGTGGCCCGACATAGAAGGGATTGAAGGGCATGTCTTCGGCGCACTCGTTCACCATTTTCGTTCGGAAAACCAAATAACGGATAGGGGACAACAAAAAACTTTTATAAAAAATTGAAAACGAAAAAAAAAAAAAAAAAAAAACAAACAACAATTTATAACTGTTCGAGCCGAACACTGAAAACACTACGAAATAATCTCCATCATTAGGAATTGGAGTGGGAACTTTATAGCATGGCTTGCTTTGATTTTTGAAAAGAATTACTATTGCAACAAAATTTAGAGCCTATATTCTTTAGTAGTACGCTATCCTTTTCAATATGAGCTTATATATAAGAGTTCAAGTTGTAGAAGTATAAGACTAAAATGGAGTGTGATCCAATCTGCCCAAACCCAATATGTAATACCTATAACCTAAATATACATAATAATACATAATATGTAAGTATATATATTTAGAAAATTAAAAACATGAAATGAATAGAAAATCTTTAGCATACAAGACTGCTTCTTACACTCGTCTATAAAATAAAGAGAGTATATAAGACAGTAAAGAGCTAGAATTTTAAATTGGGTCTTGAAGAGCCGAAATGTCGGTTTCCGCATACTCGTTTTTCTTATACTCGCTCTCCTTATAATCACTCCTTATACTCTCTCTTCCGTATCTCCGTATACTCACTCCATATCCTCGTCCCCCTTATATACGCTCACTGTGCGCCTACTGAAGCTGAGCAAATGAAGAATAAATTTATTGCTTATTTGAAATCAAAGACGAGCACTTATACTTTTATTGTTGATTCCGGGAACGAAGAAGCCGCAAGTCCTATAGTTGAGTCCACTTCTTTGCCTGTGCTCACTGGGAACTGGGCAAATGGGAAATTTGTATGGCTTTGATAAGTACGTAGGCAGGGCGTGCATAGTTAGATATAATTATTAAATATTATTATTATCTT